ATTTATTTTTGAAATTCCAAAACAATTTCACAGCTGAATTTTGAGCGAATTTTAGTTACGGACTTCTGCTCCAACGATTTTTCTGAAATTCCTCTGGCATATTTATTATATCAATTAAAGTCGATACTAGAAATTTCAGTAAAAAATATCAGCAAAATTTTTTACTAGACGCGATTTTCTTTGAACAGTAGGGTCCTTTTAAGCGCTAATTTCTCAAGAAATATTTATCATCAATGAAATCGGAATATTTCGTTTTATTGCCGAATGATATCTGTTGTTCTTTGCAAAGTTTCGCAGCCATCGCGTTAAAATCGAAAAAGTTATGACGAAAAATTTGTCACAGCTAAATGCTCTTGTATTAATTACGGAGCCACCTTAAAAGTGCAAAAAGTCTACAACTTGTTGAAGTTAACCATGATTTCACGTACAATATCGGAAGGTAACCGCCTCCTGTACAGTATCATTACTCGTAGCTTTCTTTTAAATGATTACATGAAATTCCATAACCAGTCTCATGATTTTATTTATCGTTTTTTTTTTGGGCAGGTAACATCAGGTTTTGAGTTGTATGCAGCTTTCAGTCCGCTTGTCACTAAACCAGATGCCATAAACGCCATTAACAAGCTTTTGAGATGGATTAAGGTTTGTGTGTTTTTCTTTTCCCCGATTCTCTTCACCGTCAGTGCTTAACAATTGTTTTTCTCCTTCCTTCTATTCTTAGCGCGAAGAAGACAGATTATTCATTTTAAGCTCTCAAGTCTTCTAAAGCAACACGTTCTGCCCCGTACAGAAATCAGCTCGGACGCCGAAAGTGTGGACTTGCTGTGTAAATGTCACTTTACTGCAAGTTCCAAAGGAGCACAAGAGATCGGTAATGGTGTGGAACCGAGAAAAATCATTTGAAATAGCATTCGTACGCAAACTCTGTAAACTTTACGGCCAGCGGGGGAACGGCCAGTACAGACAAAGGGGACATCAATATTCCGGTGATAACAGTAAGCTTGTGTTAATAAACTTCGAAGTAGACCTTAGACAGGAAATGGTATCTGGTCTGTTAAAAACAACACCTTGTGTGATTGAAAATAACTGTTAAACAGCGATTCATTGACAGTGACAGTTACTCCCGGGGGGGGGGGGGGGGGGGGGG